AAACGCCCCCTTTCAGCTGCAGACATACAGCAACCTGGGGGGAGGAGGAGGTGGGGGTTGCTGGAGGGATGTTACAGCTCCGGCTATGTTTAATAACGGCAGGCGAGGCCTTGCAGGTCAGGCCGGAGCGGGATATGGCGCCGCAGCCGTTCAGATTCTCGAGCCTCAAGCCGCCATCTTTAACCGCGGCTCGTTACCGAGAGACCAGCGACGCCAGCTCTGAGGGAGACACAGGGGGGCGGGGCCTGGAGCGTCACTGCGCCTGACGTATCGCTAGACGTCTGCGCCCCCTCTGCCGCGGCCGCCATTTCTGTGTTTATAACGCGGTGTCCGGGTTACATGTCAGGGTCACGGGGGGGGGAATACAGGGTGGCAGATAATTAACAATTACCAGAGTTATGGTAACAAGAATGGGGAGTGATAGCTGAACCGGGATGTATAATAACATTGTTATAATAGTACAGGGTGACTAGTGACGTTCAGGTCAGTCATGGAGGGTGTTGGGGTTGAAATGTCCACCACAGAGCCTGGCGGCCATTGCACAGCTATTTTAGAGAGGGGGGTGTCATTAAGGGTTAAAAACACTGACGTGAACTTCTGTAACAGAGGGCATGGTCTCAATTCATTGGACCTAATGTTACAGCTGGCACCTGGTTAATATACTCTAAGTATTAAAGCAAAGCTAGCCCAGAGCTTTCCATAGGCCAATGACCCTACTAGATATCATGGGAACAGCCCAACTGCGCAACTTCTTACTCAAATCCATAATGGCAGGCTAGAAACAAAACCCCTTTGAGCAAATATGTGGCACGGGGAAGGACCACAGGCGTGCTCTGTCAAACATCTATCGGATAATCCAAACACGCTCAGCAGCACAGCAGGAAACCTCATTTCAACAACAATGCATGAGTGGCCTACATATTCACTTGTCCAACCAAGAGTGGACAGCCTACTAGAGGCAGGGATTAAGGCTCTGGAAATCCAGGAAAGAGATCTTCTATAAATGGGTTCACCAGATGGTACAGAACACCAGTGCAGCTCCATTCATATTGGCCTACAGTGAGCGACAATTCTAATGCCGATCTGCCTCCTTCGATGGGGGGCTAATGCGCCATGAGGACATTACACCCTCCACATGGGAATGCATTGTCTCAATGCTTTCCTATGGGGATTTCACTGATGCTGCATGTGAGGACCTACAGTCCGTTAGTATCCTGGGGAACAGGGACACTTAACTTGAACTGCATTGGTCTGGGTGCCTATGGTGACCGTTTAAGATTGTCTCTATCTATTGCAGACGGCAACTGCAGCTTCCTGCAGTTTCACAGAGTTTGACGCCGTGAAACTACAGTGAATGTCTTCACACTGTGCACAAGTATGTCCAGTGTCTAGAAAATCCACTTAGGAAAGTGTTGAGGTAATGCTTTCCTATGAGGAATGCCTAATACACACATGGTGGGATGGGTTCCCTCTCTACTGACCTTTTTAGAGTGGTGTTGGGATTTTTTTATTTTATGTAGATAAAGCATCCAGTAGAGAGGCAAAACATGTTAAGTTTCCCTCAGTTACATTTAGGTAACTTTTGTTTCCACCAATATCAGTATATTTATAACAGACAGTTTGTGTTAAGACAGAAATTAAAAGTGTATACAGTGTATACTGTAAGTCACCATCAGAACAGACGTGACTCCATTTTGTAACAGAATACAAAAAGACAGACACATTTTTTTCTCTCTGTACTCTAGTCAGGAATGTCACCAATATAAACATTGGCAGAGATAAGACATGATGTCTGCAGCAAGTGGGTTGAACAAAACAACCCAGAAACAAATATATATACAGTGGGACCTCCATTTACAAACGCCTCGGCTAGCATAATTTTCTGTTTACAAATGAAAATCCATTGAAAATAATGCCTCGGTTTACAAATTTTTTTCACAATACAAAGCAAGTTTCCCCAGTGTCAGAAGCTTCTCCGATATCTCACACTTCCAGGTTCACGGACCAATAACACACCCCCTTCTCTGACACGGCTTCCTCACGCTACTTAGAGGAACTGCGCCAGATTCAAAGTGCTTGGTTATTTTGAAGCTTCTTATCTTCAGACCGGCTACATCAATCTCTCGTTATTCTAATTACACGTGTACCGAACCAGGACTGTTTTTACCGCTGACCTCCTTTCTCCAACAATTTGACTTCGGATTACCTTTGAAAGTTCCGACTTCGTAAAGCCTCCAAGTAACGGCAAGTTATAAATTGGATTATTCCTTACTTCTGACACCTCTATTTCTCTTCGTGTCTCCTGAGTTGTATTCAACTGAAAGCTATCTTTAAATTCCATACATGAACTCATCTCATCTACTGTCTTCATATTGCATTCCTTAAGAGCTGCAGGAACTCATATCATCAAATTATATTCATTCTTTAAGCTGCAGGAACTTATTTTGTCAAACTGTCTTTATTCCTTAAAGCTACAGGAACTCATTTCACCTACTACCTTCATATTGTATTCCTTAAAGCTGCAGGAACTCATCTTATCAAACTATCTTCATTCCTTAAGCTGCAGGAACTTATTTAATCAAACTGTCTTCATTCCTTAAAGCTACAGGAACTCATCTCATCTACTATCTTCATATTGTGTTCCTTAAAGTTACAGGAACTCATCATATCTCTTTATCTGCATGTGTCATTCCTTAAAGCTACAGGAAATCTCATCTAACTATATCTATATTGTATTCCTTAAAGCTACAGGAACCCTTCTCACACCATCATCATATTGTTCCCTTAAAGATACAGGAACTCTACTCTTCAACATTTAATTAATGATATCTTCAGAGATCTTTTGGATATATGTGTTATTTATTTAGATGATATTCTGGTATACTCTGATAACCTTAAAGAACACAGAAAACATATACGATGCGTATTATCTAGATAAAGAACTCACAAACTTTATGCCAAACCTGAAAAATTTATTTTTGAAGTCAATACAATCACCTTTCTGGGGTATGTCATATCTCCTCATTCCATAAGGATGGATGACTCCAAGATTGAATGCATTCTTTACTGGCCTATACCTACTTCCATCAAAGAAGTAAAAAGATTCCTTGGATTCGCCAACTTCTACAGGAAAATTGTTGAAAATTTCTCTAACATTTCTCATCCTCTCAATCTCCTCATCAGTAAAAAACATCCTTTCTGTTGGAAAGAAAAAAACTCAAGCATCCTTCAATGATCGAAAAAGAAAATTTACTACTGCTCCCATTCTTCAATTGCCAGATCCTACATTCTCATTCATTTTAGAAGTAGACACCTCAGACTTCGCTATCGGAGCAGTCCTTTCCCAACAAAAGACACCTCACAATCCAGTTCATCCAGTAGCATTCTTTTCTCGTTCATTAACTTCCGCTAAAAAAAAATTATCCCATAGGAGAAAAGGAACTACTTGGTATTAAGACTGCTTTTGAAACTTGGCGTCATTTACTTGAAGGAACAAAAAATCCCATAGTGGTTTATACAAACCATAAAAATCACGAATATATTTCTACAAATAAGACCTTATCATCCAGACAAGTAAGATGGAATCTCTTCTTTAAATCGATTTAATTTTCAAATTGTATATAGATCAGGCTCTAGGAACAAGAAAGTAGACGCTCTTTCTAGGATTTCACACACTTCTTCGATTGAAAATCTTCTTATGCTAAAAAATCATCCAGACACTTTCATTGGGATCGTGTCATCCCTATATGATGAAATAAGAAGTCTGAAAGAAGAAGAACTTAAATTACCATCATATCCTAAATTAATCAAGAAAGATGGGGTCTTCTATTTCAATAACCGAATTTATATACCCCCAATTCTCAGACAAAAAATACTTAAGATAATTCATGACTCTCCTCTAGCAGGTCAACCTGGGATTAAAAAGATTCTTGAATTATCTACAAGATATTATTGGTGGTCTCGTCAAGACAAGACCATAGAATCTTATGTCAAATCTTGTGAAAACCCCAGCTTCTTAGTCCGACTCTACAACAAAACCATGAGAGATACCCTAGAAAGCATTGCACCAACACGCATACGAACTGTCAAAACCCACAACAATGCACCGCGGTTTGATAGCACCATCAGAGAAATAAAGAGAACAGGCCGTAAACTCGAGAGAAAGTGGCGCAGGACACATGATCCAGGGGATAAAGCCGCTCTTACCAAACATCTAAACAAATAATTCAAGATAACTCAGAAAAAAACTTGCACTCTCCCACAATAGACCCTGGCGATTGTTTTGCACAGTAGAAAGGCTCTGCAAACCAGCATGCAAGCATATCCATACCAACTTTTTTCAGGATAAGTGTGAAGCATTTGGGATCTTCTTCAGAGACAAGATTTCCTCAATTGGAGCCTCTATTACAGCAGGCCAAACAGTTACACACCAGAACCACTACAGTGGAATGCCAGATTGCCCCAGTTTATGGCCCCCCTTTTACAAATGTGGATATAGATGTGGATATAGAAGGAGTTAAAAGAACCATACAAAAGTTACACCCAACTACATGTGACTTAGACCCTGCTCAAACTCAGCTTATATCCGCAGGCATTGAAACACTCCCCCAGCCCTCACAAAAATAGTGCAGTGTTCACTAAAAACTGGAGACTTCCCAGATCCGCTAAAAGAAGCTGTGGTAAAACCACTCCTAAAGAAACCTTTATTAGACCCAGACTGCATGGTTAATTACAGACCAATATCCAACCTTCCATTTCTGGGGAAAATAATTGAAATAGTGGCAACTTAACTGAAGGCTCATCTATCAAGCTTGAACATATTTAATCCTTTCCAGTCAGGTTTCAGATGCAGCCACAGCACAGAACAGTGCTAGTCCGAGTGCTAAATTATCTCCTTATGGCGAGAGACAAAGGTGATTACTCCATCCTAATCCTCTTGGATCTCTCAGCTGCATTTTACACCATTGACCATAGGATTTTAATAGAGCACTTGCAGCACCATCTGTGGTCTAGGAGGCACAGTCCTTAACTGGTTTAAGTCTTTCCTCACAGATAGATCACAGAGAGTAACATCAGGATCAAGCTCATCGGCACCAACATAACTGGCCTGCGGAATTCCACAAGGATCCATCTCGTCTCCCCTGCTATTCGCAATTTACTTGCTACTGTAACCGCGGCTTGTTCCCTTACTTACCACTATAATGTCTTAAAGCACAGAACTTAGTAGGGCTAACCATACAGATATCTTAGCCATAATTTTATATAGTTAGTGTAAGAGATCCTCTATTTAACATATATAAATAATTGGGAATACAATATAAAATAAGGATTGTCTTGGAAGCAATACAGTTTTGTCTTTTTAGATATTTATTATATGAAAATATAGACATATAAAATCCATTATAGCAGAGTTTGTAAGATTAAACTAAATGCTTGCAAATATCATTAATAGGTTAACATACCCTTCTGAACATGTCATCATGTCAGCCTCTCTGTCATTTTAAGATGGAGCAGCGTCTGTCTCCAAGTCCCTCCTCTGTGTCTTAAAGGACCACTATAGTGCCAGGAAAACATACTCGTTTTCCTGGCACTATAGTGCCCTGAGGGTGCCCCCACCCGCCCGCCTCTGGAAAGGGGTTAAAACTTACCTTTTTCCAGCACTGGGCAGAGAGCTCTCCTCCTCTTCTCCTCCCCGTCGGCTGAATGCGCGCGCATTCAGCCGGTCACATAGGAAAGCATTCATAATGCTTTCCTATGGACGCTGGCGTGCTCTCACTGTGAAAAATCACAGTGAGAAGCACGCAAGCGCCTCTAGCGGCTGTCAATGAGACAGCCACTAGAGGAAATAGGGGAAGGCTTAACCCATTCATAAAAATAGCAGTTTCTCTGAAACTGCTATTTTTATGAAAAAATGGGTTAACCCTAGCTGGCCCGGCACCCAGACCACTTCATTAAGCTGAAGTGGTCTGGGTGCCTAGAGTGGTCCTTTAACATTTAAAAGTACACCTATTTATACCTTAGGTGTCTCCATTTTAGGGTTACCATAGTTCATATATGAAAAAGTAATACTTCTTTTACTTTATTCATTTTAGGACCTCCCTTAACTTGGCAAACATACAAGGCCATAACTAAAGGGTGTATACGTCATGGAAATTTTCCTTAGTTCAAGATGGCATCTTAAAGTCTGGACATCCTTATCTACTTAAGGTTACCACAGTATATTGTGTACTGAAAGAGTCGTAGCATAGCCTTGAAGCTTGTTTATGCATTATTGTTATTGTAATTCGTCTGGGACAAAATGGCGCAATCATATTATGCACTGAGGTTATTGCTTAAAGAAACAGTTATGAAAAACAATATGTTCCATTTCTAACACCTTGTCAGTTTGCAATATCTCTTAAAGACAAATTACACAGTTTAAGAAATACAACATTTCATTCTAAAACTTGTAATATTTGCATTTGCCCATAACACTACCACTGGGGGACATCATTAGGCGACATGGCCGAAGGCAGGCTTCCCCAAACTCCAGCCCACCAGATGTTGCTGAACTACAACTCCCATGATTCTATGAATGAAATAGATAGGCTGAGAATCATGGGAGTTGTAGTTCAGCAACATCTGGAGGGCCGGAGTTTGGGGAAGTCTGGACTAAAGTATCATTGTTACGCGGATGTCACATGCTGTTCCTGGCTGCGGATCATTTCTGGCAATGGCTTCTGGTATCCAGTACTCTTTTACAATTCTTGTTTCATTTTTCTGGTTCTCTATTCCATGTATAGTTTTCTTTATGCTGTGTTTTCTGGGTTCATTACTGTATTCCCTTCCTGGAATTCCCAGTCTTTTGGATTCCTTTAAATGTTTTTGTTTCCACACCCGTTCCTTTGCCATTAATCCTTTTGTTTCCGTTGGTTCCTGCAGGCAGTGGTTTCATGTCCTCTGCCCCTTTCTTTGCAGGTAAGGGCTGTGTGTGTTTTTAATTATTGTTTATTAAGTTATGCATAAATAGGCAGTTAGGACCCACCGTAATTGGAGTACTTTGACGCAGTTGTGGGCTGCATACATCTTGGTATGACTATATCTCCACTGTTTATTGCACAAATTAGTACTTAGTTATGTCTCCTCTTGTTTTGCCTTGTATTTCTTGTCTTGTATTCCCAGTTCATGTACAGTCCTGTCGTGTCCATGTTTTCCTTATGTATTGTGTACATGTTCTGAGTTCTGCTTTCTGTCCTTCTCCGGTTCTGGGTTCTTCTAGTCTTGTATTGCTACCTTCTTTGGTGCCTGTTCTAGTCTTGCCTTTTTTCTAGTACTGGATACATATCTGCTGCAGAGCTTCCCTATTCAGTTCCTGGAAGTTCTGCATATTGTCATCTGGGATCCACAGAAGCTGCATCAGGGCCCTGGTATGTGGCCACACAAAGCTGGTGCTCAACACCAGGGGGCCTGTGGTTACCCTGCACCAGGCCCTGATAATCCATTTCCACACAGTGACCCCTATCAAGATCAAGTCACCGGACCGCCACTCCTGACAGCAGATGACACACAACTCTACTTCTCCTTTGCTCCAGCTACCACAGACCCAGACATGCCGCATCACCAGTTGCTTAGAATGGATGAATGCTAGTTGGCTTAAAGTGAACCTGGATAAAACAGAGTTACTCTTGGTGAGGGGACACCGGGCAACAAAAATATCCCATGATCACCCAACTGGCCTGGAGCTTGGAGGCTCTGAACTCATCAGTTTACCAAATGTACGAAACCTCGGAGTGCTGATTGACTCGGGACTATCATTTAACCCCTTAAGGACACATGACATGTGTGACATGTCATGATTCCCTTTTATTCCAGAAGTTTGGTCCTTAAGGGGTTAAACAGCAGATTTCCTACATAATACAATTTGCCTACAGGTGATACTCGAAAAATATCGTGCAAAAGTTAATTTATTTCAGTAATGCAATGTAAAAGGGGAAATATATGAGATAGACGCATTACATGCAAAGCAAGATAGTTCAAGCCGTGATTTGTCATAAATGCAATGATTATGGCTTACAGCTCATGAAAACCCCAAATCTACAGTTTCAGTGAATTAGAATATTGTGAAAAAGTGCAAAATTCTAGGCTCACAGTGTTCCACTCTAATCAGCTAAGTAAGCCATAACACCTGCAAATGGTTTCGGTCTGGTTCAGTAGGAATCACAATCATGGGGAAGACTGCTGACCTGACAGTTGTGCAGAAAACCCATCATTGACACCCTCCATACGGAGGGAAATCCTCAAAAGGTAATTGCGAAGGAAGCCAGATGTTCCCAAAGTGCTGTATCAAAGCACATTAATAGAAAGTTATGTGGAAGGGGAAAGTGTGGAAGAAAAAGGTGCACAAGCAGCAGGAATGACCGCAGCCTGGAGAGGATTGTCAGGAAAATGCCATTCAAAAGTGTTGGGGACTTTCACAAGGAGTGGACTGAGGCTGGAGTCAGTGCATCAAGAGCCACCACACACAGACGGATCCTGAACATGGGCTTCAGATGTCGTATTCCTCTTATCAAGCTGCTCCTGAACAAACCACGTCAGAAGCGTCTTACCTGGGCTAAAGAAAAACAGACCTGGTCTGTTGCTCAGTGGTCCAAAGTCCTCTTTTCTGATGAGAGCAACTTTTGCATCTCATTTGGAAACCAAGGACCCAGAGTCTAAAGGAAGAATGGAGAGGCACACTGCAAGATGCTTGAAGTCCAGTGTGAAGTTTCCACAGTCTGTGTTGATTTGGGGAGCCATGTCATCTGCTGGTGTTGGTCCACTGTGCTTCCTTAAGTCCAGGGTCAATGCAGCCGTCTACCAGGAGATTTTGGAGCACTTCATGCTTCCTTCTGCAGACGAGCTTTAAGAGGATGCTGACTTCATTTTCCAGCAGGATTTGGCACCTGCCCACACTGCCAAAAGCACCAAAGCCTGTTTCAATGACCGTGGGATTACTGTGCTTGATTGGCCAGTAAACCCGCCTGACCTGAACCCCATAGAGAATATATGGGGCATTGCCAAGAGAAAGATGAGAGACATGAGACCGAACAATTCAGAAGAGCTGAAGGCAGCTATTGAAGCATCCTGGTCTTCCATAGCACCTCAGCAGTGCCACAGGCTGATAGCTTCCATGGCACGCCGCATTGAGGCAGTAATTGCTGCAAAAGGGGCCGAAACCAAGTACTGAGTCCATATGCATGCTTATACTTTTCAGAGGTCCGATATTGTTCTATGTACACTCCTTGTTTTATTGCTTGCATGTAATATTCTAATTTTGAGATTGTGGATTTGGGGTTTTCATGAGCTGTAAGCCATAATCATCACACTGACAAATCACAGCTTGAACTATCTTGCTTTGCATGTAATGCGTCTATCTCATATATTAGTTTCCTTTTTTATATTGCATTACTGAAATAAACAAACTTTTTAACGATATTTTAATTTTTCGATTATCACCTGTACTTTCATCTAAACAACATAGCCAGGATACAAACTCAATTCCACCGGATGATATGCCAACATTAATCCATGCATTTGTATCCTCTCGGCTTGATTACTGCAATGTACTTTACTTGGGCCTCCCAGTAAAAAACTCCATCGCGTTCAGACTGCACAAAATGCAGCAGCCAGACTACTGACCAATGAAACTTGCTCCTGCCACATCACACCTCCACTCGCTGCATTAGCTTCCAATTAAATGGCGAACACTTTAAAATTGGTCTGTTAACCTTCAACGCCTTAAACAATCAAGGACCACAGTACCTGAAAGAGCACCCTACATTCCATCCAGTTCACTTCGGTCAGCAAGCAAATCTTTTCTGTCAGTGCTAAGAATAAAGACAGACTCAGGTTCCAGGGCATTCAGCCACTCTGCCCCATCTTCTGGAACTTTTTACCATACGCAATTAGAGAGGTACCTTCCTGACAGACTGAAAGGACCACAATAGGGCCAGGAAAACAAACTCGTTTTCCTGGTAGTATGTGGTCCTCCTGGCCCCCCTCCTGCTGAGCTGAAGGGATTAAAACACTTACCTTTCTCCAACGCCGGGCTCCCTCGGTGCTGGGAAATTCTCCTCCTCCTGCCGTCAGCGCCGAATGTGTGAAAGCCCCGCGCACGCATTCAAACCGCCCACAGGAAAGTATTACTCAATGCTTTCCTATGGATGTCAGCGCAAGAATCGCGGAAGCGGCATCTAGTGGATGTCAGCGAGACAGCCACT